AGGGGGAGTTCTGAGCTGGCATAGCAGGAGAGGCTGCAGGTCGGGACTGAGGGGCGTCGGCGGAGCTGGGTAGGTAATGCTGGCGCTGCGCTAGTGTAGGGCTGGTGCTGCTCATCCCTCCCCCTCGCTGTTCCCACTTGCCGTCCATCTCTGGCTCATTCCTCTCTCTCCTTCTCCAGACGCCTGCAACCACCCCTTGTTCCGAGCTGCATCTGCCCGAGGAGTTTGGTAAATGAAGCCTAGAGGCCTCGGCTGGGGCCATTCATCACTTAGGGATCTATTGTCAGATGCGGTGCTCGAGCAGAGTGAGGGAGCAGTGTTATCCCTGCGGGTGCTCTGGGGCCCTGCAGCTCGGTAGGGTTTCTAGCTGGCCCCGGCCCCCAACCTGCCTGGTTCCCGGCTTCGAATTGGAAGGGGTGGCACACGGCATGCGTCCTTGGGACGCTTGCGGAGGGGGGCGTTCTGTATGGACGCTTTTCTTGCCTTTGGCTTTGGTTCCCCTCCTGAGCACGTCTCCTGTCCCCTGTCACTTCCAGCTGGGTCCTGGCAAGAGAAGCACACGGTGGCGCCGTCCCCGGCGGGTTAACGCTGCGGGGCATTTGGAAGCTGTTTCCTTCACCCTGCAGCCCCTTGCTGGCTCCCAGGTTCTAGCCCTGGCTCTGCCACCAACCTGCTGGTGACCCTGGGCAAGTCACCTGCCCTCTCTGGGCCCTGTTAAATATGGGCAGTGCCACTGCCCTACCCGCTGCTTCCAGGGTGCGGGGGGACTTGGGCTTGCGAGGCTGAGCGCATTCATGGTTGCTGAAGACAGGGGGCCCCATAGAAACGCTGGCAAAAAGCCCAGCATCTCCATCGCTTGGGGTCAGACCCGCTGTTCTGGGTGAGTAGGAACCTGGGGGCGCTGTGAAAGGGGCCGGAGACCTGTCTTCGTGCTGGGCAGTGTTGGGGCCATCCCGGGCAGCGATGGTGGGGGAGCTCAGTCTCCGTGGCCTGTTCAGACCACGGCCTCTCTGCTGAGTCTACCTGGGGTGGGGCTGGGGGCTGAGTGCCAGCTGCTTGTTGTGGGACTGGGTTGCTGGCACTGCAAAGGTCAATGCCCTGCAGCCCTCCTGGGGGGGTCTGGGAAGCTGGGGGGTGGTGGTAGTGATGGGGAGACACCTTCCCCCCCCCATCCCCAGGGCTCATGCACTCACAGCCGTCTCTCCCTCCCTCCCATCTCGCAGCAAGGTCATGTGCTTCCATCCTTGGTCTGACCTGACACTGCCGCTCATGTCGCTGGCAGAGATCCGGGCAGTGATTGACAAGTGGGCGGAGCTCACGGTGGAGCTGGGTGCTTCTTATCCCTGGGTACAGGTCAGTGCCCCACCCCCCCACCCCCAGTGCAGCGGTGGGCAAAGGCCCTGTAGGGGTGCAGCGTGGCCAGCGGCAGGCCAACCCCCCTGTAGATGCATTGCACCCTCTAGGGGTGGGTGAAGGGAGCGCAGGCTCCAGGCATGTGCACACAGGCGTGATGGGATCAGATGGCTGGCAGCTCCTCACACCATGCTGCAGGCTGTGATGTGCCTGGATATGTGTGTCTCTGAGTGACATTCAGTGACATCCTGCGGCAGGGAGTTAGTTTCTGAATGACTTTCCTCCAACTTGGGGTGAGGCTCTGCGTAGCCAGGGGGCGCTGTTGCCCTTACGTGTGCTCTAGCAATGAGTGCAGAGCACTTGGGAGCCAGGATTCCTGGGTTCTAGTCCATTGGCTCACCTGTGTGACGGCTCTGTGCCTCAGTTTCCAGACCTGTAAAATTGGGAGACTAACCCGTGCCTTGTCAGGGCGTGGTTGTGAGGCCAAATCCATTAATGCTGGTGCAGCGCCAGGTGCTGCTGAGAGCCTCTAGAAGTGAAAATGGTAGCGGGCGTGTTGTGACCCTCTCCTGCCCCTGCCGTTCCCCACCTGCCCCCCGATGGTCTGCGTTGGGCAGAGTGTCTACGATGTCACCAGCTTTGTATCCCAGCCAGAGTGGTGCTGCCGTCTGGCCGTTGTGCCTAATGGTTTGGAGAGCCAGACCCGCCTTCCTCCCAGTCCTCCGGGTCCTCACTGATTCACTGGTGCCCAGGTCCCTGCACCCCCTTGCTCACAGCCTGAGGCTTTCCCCGTGCTGCGAGACCACTGCCTTTGGCTCAGAGACGCACTCAGGACTCCCCTCTCCATTGGCCATGTGCACTTCCAGGGTCTAAGGAGAGAGAACCCCCCTCTGCCCGTGTGGAAGAGTCTGATCTGGAGCTGCAAAGGGATTCTGCAGTGCCCCCACTGAGCTTGGCCGGCCTCCTTCCCTATCCCCCCGGGGTCTCAGAATCTCGCTACGTCTGTGCGTTGAACCGCTCCACCCAGAGGCCAGTCAGTATCACCCTCCAAGTGGTTGATAGGGAAACCGAGGCACCGAGCGGCTGAGTGACTTGCAAAGGCCGTTCAGTGGCAGAAGAGGGAATAGAACCATGGAGTCCAGATTCTCAGGGCAGTGCTCCAACTGCTAGGCTGTGCTTCCTTGCCAGCAGTTGCCACCAGCTGACATTAGAATAGTCCCAAGAGCTTCTTTTCCCTTCTCTCTGCAGATATTTGAGAACAAAGGGGCCATGATGGGCTGCTCCAACCCTCACCCTCACTGCCAGGTAAGGGAGCCGGCTGCTCGCGCCCTGGGGACTGCGCTATGGGTGGGTTGTGTTATGGGAAGGGGAAGGGGTGTCCCGGCACCCTCCTGCTCCTCCCGTGATCTTCTCTGAAAAGCGACTCTTGTGAGCCCTGCGGGCAGAGCCCCCAGCTTTGCAATGTTCAGATCGCTCTTGTAGCGTCTCCTTCATCAAATGAGTGTTTAAAACTTCTCCCTCCAACATCTGGGCTGCCCAGACAGCAACGCAGGGCTAGCCACGGAGTCTGATTCCTAACCCATGTCTGCCTCCTCCCCAGTGCTTCCCATTTCCTTGTGTCGGGTCTGTTCTCACTTGGCAGTCAAGTCCATCATCTAGGGTCCCGATCCTGCAGTTGGGCTGGTGGAGGTTTGACCTGATTGCAAGCTCCTCTGCCCAGGGACCTGCCTCCTGCATGGGGTGATGGGCTGAGCGTTGTCAGGTGGTGCTGTTTTGCACGGTCACTTTCCTGACCAGGTTTTGGTTCAGCCTCTCATTCCCGCTGAGAGCCAGAGGTGACAGCACCGAGCTAGTTCAGTGCACCCTGGGGGCGGTGAAACTGACTAGCTGCCAAGTGAAACTGACCAGTGCCGTCTCCCTGTCCAAACCCAGGGCAGGGCGAAAAGAAAAGGGCCAGCGTCACCAGTGCAAAGTGAACCGAACTTGGGATTCCCTCAACCTCCTTGGTCCCGGGCACTGACAGCCCAGCCGAGGGACTGCCCTAATCTCACAAGTACAATCCTCTCTGTTCCTTCCGATATTGGATCTGCTTAACCCTGACCCAATAGGGGTCCACTAAGATTGGGTGGCCCATAAATGCACTTTCCCATTTGCTCCTCCTAAACTGTCTGGATGCCCAGGTAACTTTTTGTGGGTTGATCCCTACCCGGTGTAGATCTTGACTTACCTATCTTGACTTCAAAGGGGCATGCCTCTTTGTGCCAGCTGAAGATCTGGCCTCGTTTGTGGGCCACGTGTTGTGTTCCCCTCCCACAAAACACTCCCGATACTTTTTGTTTTGTTTTGTTTGGTGGGGGAGGCCCGCAGCTGTAGAGATAACTAGAAAGGAGTTAACAGAACTTCATAGCCACTGCGAGGGATCCTACAATGACCAAACCCTGGAAGTGCGCACGATTGCTGGTTGAAAGCGAACTGAGGGGAACCCAGATACCTTGTAAAAATCTGAAACCTCTTTGCTGTCCGTCTTCAAAAAATACTTTTCTCATTGAGAGCAACTCCCTTCCCTCCTCCCCCCCACCCCGGCCTTTTCTAGTCTGGGAAACATTACAGATGCATTTACATAGCACCACGATGCTCGTTATATATTTTTGGCTGTTTAGTCTCAACCTTCCCTTGTTAATACGGGAGCTGCCTCGTGTGGCTGTAGATCACAATTTCACCATCAGGTGGCAGCATAAACCTGCAAATGGCTGCTTCTCCTGGCCATTCCAGGCTCTGCTTTCTCTGAGCCACCTCCCCAATCCATCCCTCTCCTAACCGTGTGCCACCACAGGGTACTGGGAGCCGCTGCCGAATCCTAGAGTGGTTTGAGGGGGGGATTGTACCGTCCACTTGGGAGCATGTGAAGCAATCCTGCCTGGCGCTCCCAGAGAACTGCTGACGCCTCCGCCCTTAGGATACAGCTGGGAGCGAGAGACCCTTTAGCTTCCAAAGCTGTCCCTCCGGCTCTGGCTAGCGTCAGTGTAGCCCTGCTGGCTATTGCAGGGGCAGGGTGGGTTTCCCTGCCCCCCACACCTCCCTGGGGGCCCACTGCTAGCCCACTGGTGCCACCTTCTGCCTCGGCCCTCCCTGTGGACTGGGAACCCAACCCCACGCTAGCTGTGTGGGGAGAGACTTCTGGAGCTCCACCGGGGGTGAGGGATGTGCCATTTGCACCTGCCCAGGGAGCCAGTGGAGTCCCCCCATGAGGAGTGGTGATGCCAGCTCCCTAGAGCGGGGAGAGTGCCCAGGGAAACACCTTAACCGCCGTAGGGTCTGCGGTCATCTGCTCCTGGTGCCCTCAGTCCTCCATGGGCAGGATGCCTTGGAACCCTGTTGCTGGTGCGGTGTCCACTGCAGCCCCACCTGGCAAATGGCATCTAAAGATCCCACCTCAAGCCCCTCTGTGTGCATAGAAATCTCCCCGGTTACAGCCCCCAAGCAGGGTTCATGCCGGGCTGCTGAGATGCTCCCTGCAGCTCTGGGCGGCCGCAGTTCAGCACAGGTGGGTGTCGGGCACCCCTGGAGCCTACGGCAACGGGCACCCCGTGTAGAAAGGGTCACGGAATGGGGGCAGCTTTTCTGTCTCTGGTGCAGGAGCCACCCAGTCCCGAGGGGCTGGCCTCGGCTCCCAGATCTCCCGTCGTCAGATGGGCTGAGTCCAGTGACTCAGGTGAAACGCTGAGAGGGGCACTGTGTGGGGAGGGCCTCAGGGCTAGGGCTGGGGCTGCGGAGTTTGTTCAGGGCTTGTGATGAGCTGGAGGGGGGCCAGGGAAGAGCCATTGATCAAGGGGGTCGGGAGGAGACGAGCAGAGGGAATGTGCCAGGCTTGGCCGCGTGACAGCTCGGGGAGCATCAGTCACACAGACCTCCAGGAATGGCAGAGTGTGGGGCCCGTCTCGGTCACGGGAAGGTGCCAGACAGACACCGGCAGAGCTCAGTCTTATCGAAGGGAAGGATACGGGCTGGCTGGCTCGTGGGCTGCGAGTGCCTACGCGGGAGAGCCTCTTTTATCTGAGTCAAAGGCAGAACAAGTTCCAGGGGCTGGAAGCTGAGGCCAAACAAGGCACCAGTCTCGGAGTGGGTGATGAGCCATGGGGCCAGTGGCTCTACAGATGGT